GAGCACCGCCTCCGAGTAGCTGGGCACCAGCTGCTGGTTGGAGCGGATGTGCCACTCGAGCTCCGTGCTGTCCACCGTGTTGACCCGCGGCAGGCGGTGGGTGAGCGGGGGCAGCAGCTCGTCGCTGGGGCTGAGGCCGCCGCCCGCGCTGCTCGCCGAGCCCGGGCCCTCCAGGCCAAAGAGCTTCTCCACGTGGTAGTGCGCGTAGGCCGTGCGGTACTCGGACAGCACGCGCAGCGGCCACGACAGCGTGAGCAGCGCCGCGGCCCAGAAGGCGGACGAGCAGGCGTACCACGGCGGCCTGGCCGGGTCCGGGAAGGCCACCATGAACTCGCGGAAGTCCACATTCTTGAGGTGCATGCCCTCGCGCGCCTCCATGTAGTCGTCCAGACCCTCATTCTCGGCGAAGAAGCGCGCGCGCTGGCACAGGTACGCGTTCTCGGCCTCCACGCTGGCGAAACTGAAGCACTTGGTGAAGCGCAGCCGCGTGGCCGGCGCGCCCTCCAGCCCCACCAGCGCCTTAGACACGTCGCGGACGCCGCAGCGCGCGTAGTCGAACTCGGCCTCGGCCACGTGCGTGTTGACGCGCTCGTGGTAGACCTGCGGCATGGGGCGGGGAGGCAGCCGGAGTGGCGAGGAGCCAGTGCCGCCCAGTCCACTTCTGTCTGCTCACCCTCGCCCGCCCCGTGGCTGCTCTTAGAGCATTTGATCAGAGCGTGATGTTGCAACACCACGGTCAAGGGTTCTGATCCCCGTACACGCCAGCCACCCCCCAGAAAACAAAAATCAAAACCCTAAGCCTGTCCCGGAGTAGGATCTTACCATCTGGTTTATAAAGCGTCCGAGGTCCTCAGCTTACTCAGTGAGTTAGAGATGAGGGCTGGACGAGAACCCAGCCCTACCTGTGTGCATTCAACTTTTAATTAAGCACTGCTTCCTCTAGGGTCAAATCCTGGCCGTGAACTGCCCCTCTGGCCTGCCTGATCCTTTTGCTGCTGCCTCCGTTGTCCCATGCTGTCCCCATATCACCACGAACAGCCTCTCTTCCCTTTTCAAAGTGTTTCCAAATGGGCTCTTCAGAGAATCTCCCTGAAGAATTCTGTCCCTAGTCTCCCTCTTCCAGCCTTGCTATCACTGTCTTCTTCCTGCTTCTCACAGGCCAGAGACTCTGTCTACCCTTCCGAATACTGAATTAGAGATCACCCGAATCTGGGAACATCTCCTCCTCCTCCAGGTCTCCAACGCGTCCAGGAGGCATCCTGGTGCGTCCAGGAGGTGCTGATTGACCTGCTGACTCTCCATAAGTCCTACCACTCTCACCTCGTCTGGGAGCCTTGGACTTGGGATCCAGGAACCTGGGTTTGAGTCTAGCACTACTACATAGGAGCCGCAGACCTTGTTCAAATCAGTAAGTTTAGATCTCTACCTGTGAAAGAGAGCTTGGTAGCAGTCACCTCACTGAACAGGCTTGCTGTGATGGCATGGGAAGTCATCTCCAACCCTTAAGGCACTAAAAACACCCATTAATTGCTAAACAGTATTGATCCTGGAGCCAGACTGCTTGGGTTTGAGTGCCATCTCCACCACATACTAGCTATTTGACCTTGGACACCTCTCCAAGCCTCAATTTCCTCATGTGTAAAGGGGGTAATACTTACCTCATAGGATTATTATGAAGGTTAAATAAAATGATTTAATATTTGTAAAGTACTTAAAACAGAGTCTGGCTTCCAGTTAACATTTGCTGTTGCTATTGTGGTGGTAGTTATTACCCTCCTGTTGCAGTGCCCATGGAGCACACTGCTGCTTTGTGCTCCCCTCCTCCCCTGGGGGAGAGGATGGGGGGCAAGGGAAGTGAGGCAGAGTCCAACACCACCCCCCATCTTAAATGGGCCTCCACTCTTCTCCAGCCCCTCACCTGGGTAGTAGTGTAGGCGTCTCCGTTGCGGTAACGGGTGACCTGGCGGGTGCGGCGCACATAGTGGTAGCTGATGGCCTTCCACCAGATGCAGGGCGTGGCCTGCTGCATGCGGCCCACTCGCTCCCGCACGCTGCTCACGTCCACACGGTGCTGCAGCTCATGGCGGGCTTGGCAGTGCCAACACTCCACCAAGTAGACGGCATACAACATGAGCAGGAAGGCCAGGGGGATGTAGACATAGCCATTGGAGCAGGGGCTGTCATGGTACATGAGACTGTTGCCCTGGTAGGCGCTGCTGAAGGTGAGGCGTGTCACCGTGGTGACATGGCACCAGGCCACTGCCCCCAGGCAGCCGTACATGAGCAGCGAGAGCAGGAGGCACTTCCAGTGGGACTCACGGCAGAGGGATTTGGTGAAAGAGGGCTGGATGGGACGCTGCTGCTCAGATGGGCAGGGACGGCCGAGGTGAATGGGAAGTGAGACAGAGTGGGCAGGACCCAGCACAGAGATGGAGGCAGGGATGGAGGGGCAGAGACCAGCACCAGAGATGACAGAGATACAGACAAGGATGTGGAAAGAAAAGGTAAGGCCAAGATGGAAGCCAGGGACCAGAGATAGATGAAGAAGTGACCAAGGGGAAGCCATGAGGACAGGAAAAGGGACCGAATGCCAGTGCAGCACAGTGCAGAGAGAGAGACATCCCAAGAAGCAGAGAGGGAGCCAAGCCAGAGATGGAGGCCCAGAGGCAAGAAGACACACATGGATAGTATGGCACCAAGAGACAGAGTCCAAAGACAGGCACAAAGATGGCAATAAAACAGGAGAAGGTACAGATGGGGAAGATGGGGAAGGACAGACAGGCATCAGCAAAGGCAGGTCCCCAGCCCAGACCCCTTCCAGGTGTTCCAGGAAAGGGAGGAGTGATCCACTGACATCACCTCCCCTCTTAACAGATGGGGCCTTTGCTGCTTTCTGATTCTTTCAGTCCTAGGATTTAGAGGAGCCACTCCCCTTTGACCTGTCCACCTCTCTGACCCTCACAGACAATTAGCCTAATATCTCCTTTGGAAGAAGGCCCCCAGGGAACCCAGGTCCTGTCTCATTCCCCACTTTCTGGACCCCAGTTCCCCTATGAGTCTCCCCCTCCTGCACCCTGACATTCTTCCTCTCTGTTCTAGGATGGGAAGGAGGGGGCCGGAGTCCCTGAGCAGAAGGCAGTCCAGGAGGAGGTATTCAAAAGGGCACAGGCATGTGGCTAAGGAGAGGATGGGGATAGGGCATGTGGGACAATGGGGGTAGAGAGCAAAACATCTGAAGCCCAGCCATTTGTCAACAGAAAACGATTTTTGGTTTTCTCCTGGGGCCTATCTGTTAAAGTACTTGGCACATTCTATTCTGCAGTTGGCCCAGTGAGTTGTTTATTTGTCTGGCTCCCCACTAGACTGGGTGCTCCTGAGGGCAGAGCCCATGCCTCATCCTCTTTGCATTATGGGTGCCTACCATGGTGCTGGCACCCAGCAGCCACACAGTAAATGAGTACTGAATTTAATTTCTCCTGGTGGCCTGTTTTCCCACACTTCCTCCCTGCTGTCTAGCTTTAGTAATCCCCAACCCCCAGCACACACACCCTCCTGCTGGGATCCTGACTTATCCTCTCAATTCCTCAGGTTCCTCAGGCTGACCTGGAGGCCAGCCATGGGAGAGAGAAAAGGGTGGAAAAGAAGGTCTTAGTAACAGGCCCTTCCTGAATCTGTACTTCTAGATTCAGCAGGCCCTGAATCTAGAAGTATGGATAGGTAGATGAGTTAGGTTAATAGCACACAGTACAGACCCACAGGGAGATTAGGGTACATGGGCCTTTTGGGGAGCTATGTCCTTGGGAAGTGTGTGCATACGTGCACCTTTGTGTGCCCCCCTGGTTGTGTGCTTGTCCAGATGTGAGCACATCTGAAAGGGTCTCTACCTGCATGTCTGTCCCTGCTTTGTGTACCTCTGCTCTAGTGCAGTGTTCATGTGTGTGCACAAGTGTGCATGAGAGACGGGGGTTTGGGGGGAGGGTGCTCCTAGTACTTTCCTCACTCTCTTTGTCTTCAGTCCAGAGGACTGAAGAGTAGGGCCCCAAACTAGAGATATGCTCAGTACCAAGGCTCTGAAGGATTCCTGGGCTTAGGGCCCGGTAGGGGGAGGACCAGGGGCATTGGGAGAGAAGGTGCACCCCTCCACACACGCACACTTCCAGTGACCCCGGAGGGATCCCCTCCGTACACATATGACCTTCTTAGGGCCCCAACTCAGGTAACACGACAACTTCCCCATGGTACCCTCCTGGCTCTGTAGCCCCTGCAAGTCGCCCTTCTTGGCCTTCGAGGTAGCATAACCCTCCGCGAGACAGGATCCTCGCTGCCATCCCCACCCTGGGTGAGCCTAGCCCCCTCTCTCATCCGTCAGGGGTCCGCGAGGCTCCACCCCTAGGCTCCTCCCCCTGCCCGGGACCCCTGAGCCCCGCC